TTATTTATTTATTTTCAAATTGATTTTGATATTAATCTTATATCTTTATATATTTTTTATATTCACATATATGTTTTTTTCATTGAAACAAACGTTTATTAGCTTATTAAATATAATGAATTCATGTTGTTTTATTATATGCGTGTATGAATAATTACTTTTATTTCCTTTTAAAAATGAATTTCAAAGATAAAGCCGAAACGGTGAGTGAGAATAAACAATTAGACGAAAGTGACGATATTTACTGGAGCTTTCATCTACACGCTTCTTTTTCTAGCCATCTACACCTGAGCCAGCAAGATTCGTCTTCCCTCCATCCTTACATTCTCCAGATTTACAGAGAAAAGGCCGTCCTCTTTAACATATCCAGACCTTCTTTGACGGGGACTATACCACTACATTATCAGCTTTATTTGTTATCTCGAGCAATTTAAATGTATTAGTAATTGCTCATTCTCACCTCTTCTCTTGTAGATTCCGTACTCAGTTTTCTTATTTTTAGTTACGTTTGCACTGCTCTTTTATTTTCACAGCTTTAATTCTATAATGCTGTAACGCTACAATATGGATCCATTTGTGTGGTTTATACTATTTAGTGTTATTCGTAAGTGACCAACCTATTATAATAATTGAAAATTATTATATTACAGGCCTGAGGATGTTCCTGTAAGGCCGAAACTAGTCGCTCCTGTATTTATTTATAATAAAATTGATTTTAAGGTTTTATTCTTCAATGGAAAAAATTAGACCTTTACAGTGATTTTGTTTAATTTCCTACATTAGACACATATAAGACGGTATTCATTTTAAAAATAGTAAAATTAGCAAATTTTTTAGTTTTTCTTTACAATTAAAACGTTTGGACAATGTGTGTTTTTATAGGTAAATGATACGCCACTGAACAAGAAGGATGTTTACCTTCCCCCTTGTGCCCGCTTCCTCACTTCCTCTACAGATGTTGCTAACACAACAATCGCCTACAAACTCGTTTTCACGCTCCCTCTATTAGTAATTGCTCGGAGGATAGAAACTACTAATTTGACACTCACACAGGTTAATTTTTTTGACATTTTTTAGCCAATACTAGGGGCGTTTGATTTGAAACTCGATCGAGCGAGCGTCGAGGAGACCGAGAAGTGATGACGTCACAATAGAGCATTGAATCAAATCAAATAAAACAGAGTAAAAAACATAACCCCGCTTTTCTGTGATTCTTGTTTCTGGTTTGTATGTTGAAATAGTGAGCAAAAAGTAAAGAAAATGGAAAAACTTTTAATAATAAGGGGTAATGGCCCTGAAATGCAGCATTTACCACAAATGCCCGCTTCGCTCTCACACTCCATGACTGTGATTACTGGTGATTAGATCTGGACAGAAAAAATGTATTTTCCAAACATACATTTTGTGTTTTTTTATGATGAATAATTTTAGCTATAAGACAAAACCGGCTAAGTAATTTGTTGACTTCTTGTCTGGTCTTTAATTTTGAGATTCAAATTTGTTTGTAAGTTAATTAAAAAGAGATAGGTAGAGACAAAGACAAATTTCTCCCTCTTCTCGATCTTTCTGCTCTGAGAACATCGAGCTTGCTCTATGTTCTTGCTCCAAAGCGAAACAAACACTTTAGGGATCTCTCGGAATGTCAATTCAAACACTTTTGAAGCGCTCGGAGATCTCTGATGATCAAATCAAACGCACCAAATACAGTTTTTATATATTGTTCTGAAATTTGATTGGTTGAAAACGATTGATATGCTGTAATAATCAAAGACTCTTCGCTACATCATGCGACACGAACCACATACTTTGATTACTATACGGGGCAAGAGAGAGGTCCGACACGCCCAACATAGGGCGCGGCCATTTTGAACCCTATGACACAGTTTATAGCTAAAGAATCAGATCGCTCACTCTGCGTCGGCCCTTTTTAACTCAATGTTTTAGTTTATACACTGCGCAACTCAGATAATACAATATATGACAACCGCCTATTCGCTCCGTGCGCGACAGCAGCGCCAATTTGTTTTGGTATTAAAGGAGTATTTCTGCCTATACTGACAAATACAATTTTTAATAGAATTCGTAAATAAAAAGTATATATGTTAGTTTTAATAAAAGTATATGGATTTATAAAACAATTAAAACATTAATTTATTATTATTATATATTTTTCACGCTTAAATTGAAGAAAATTATGTATAATTATTAAAAATCAATAATAAAATATAGGCAGGCAACAGTATTTACTGGAAAATGTATGAGAAGTTGCCTAAGTCTAATAAGTTGTCATTGAAGAAACCATTTATAATAGCGTGAAGTTAAAATGTATAAAAAGGATCGCTACTTATATTTTCATTTTTGTTCTAAAGAAAACATAGAATGAATGATTAAAACTGGTTTTCGATCAGTAAGTCACAAAATTGCATACCAGCCAAATATTATAATCAACGGCAGAAATCTTGAAATCTAGTCCTTGCTGAATGAACATTTAAGAATAAAGGGATATTAAAGAACATCGTAAAATGATAATTTATTGTTTATTTAAAAACTTTCTAGTTTCTGATGTCTACTATTTCCAGCATTACTGTTATTATCACAAAAATAAAGGTAATTTTTCTTCTTATTGTACACCTATCCATTTATTTCTTTGATTTAATTTCCACTTTGTTAGTGAAATTTGTTATATAAGTTTCACTGTTTTTTTTTGCTAGTATTTGTACAATTTTCAACACAGCAACTCCGGTTGCTTATTGTGTTGTTTTTACCTACTTTCTTGAAAAAAAGTAAAATGTATACGTGTATTTGATATGCCAAAATTACAAAATATCCCCCTAAAATGCACGAATTATCCGCAGCTAGCGCTAGTATCGCTTTTGCTTCCCTTTCCATGACTTCGCACGGAGCGAATAATAAAACAGCAGTCTTCTGCGTATCCTGAATTTGTATTTCTGGAGTGGATGTTATTTTGGAACTTTCAACTGGTCCGAGTGAGCTAACTGATTCTTTAGCAATAAACTGTGACTCCAAAAATAATATTCACTGACACTGACAGCAGCAAGCAAAATATCAGGTGCGTTTTAATCATCCGCTTCTGCTTCTGGAATTGTCGGTTCAGTCGTTCTAACCTGTCCGATTAAAACAAGAAAACCTACAATTCCGAAGCAGAAGCGGATGATTAAAACGCACCTATTAAAAATATTGCGCCAAGATGTATTCTTAAATTCTTAGACATGGGTAACGCAGCGCTGCGTTGCGTTATTGCGTTAACGCAGTTGTATGCGTTACGAGCGTTGATACACCAGCTGTTACTGTATCAGCGCAACGCAATTTTCGATACTGGAGTCGAAAGGATCGCGAGTTGTTGATGCGCCATGCGCCAGGCACTGATTCCGTTTTCCGTGAGGAACTGAGAATTTTAATTTACGTAATGCAGTTTATCCAAAATCTATCAAGTAATTATGTTCTTTGCAACATGTCACATCATTTGTAGGATTGTAGGTTGAATTTATAAATTTTAACCTTGTACACTCTCAGTTTATAGTTCTTCCCATTTCGATTGGCTACTAGTATACAAAAGTTATATCCTTTTTATATGTATAAATTTGAATTTTTGTATTCTTTGTAAAATCCGAACACAATGAAATAAAAAAATGGGTGCATTACACACTGTTATATTTTCGTTTATTTTTAAACATATAATAAAAAAAAATTTTCTACACCCGTATTATAATAATGCACTTATATGCCCATAATTCGTTTCATAATGATACCCATTATGATACAGATTTTTCATTATGATACAGATTTTTAATCAATAGAAACCTACAATTTTTCAATCAAGCATGATGTTTGACGTTTGTCCTAAATTCCTATGTAATTGTTTTAGTTGTCAAAACGTATTAAATTTTCGTAGATAGCTAAACTTCGATAATTATAATATTAAAATGTCTGATATCAGCGATATAGAAGACTCCTCCACACATATCGGAGAAAGGAGAAAATGCAGTACAAAATATTTTGCCCCAAAAATCTGTGGTAATACCAATACCCAAGGTAATACCATTAATTACAATTTTGTAGAATTTTTTATAGAAATACGAGTAATTACTGTTATTGTGTTCAATGCCAATATAAATAGAATATTTATAGGTCTTGATTATTTATCGGGTGTAGAAAAAATAGCGTATGCAACTCTCATGTAATGGTTATTAAAACACTCGCATAAACCATACGAAACTCGCCTTTGGCTCGTTTCGTATCCCGGTTAATGCTCGTGTATTAATAACCATCATTACATGATCGTTGCATAATATACTATTGTTAAATTCCCAATTGCGTTATTGCATTGAACACGGTTTGACCCTTATAAAAGAACATCCCACGCTGAATATCACCGGTATCATGCGATACACCGAGGTGCATCGACTTTATTCGGTGCAGGCAGTGGTGTAACGTAACGCAATAACGCAATTGCGTTAACGCAATGAGTTGGCGCAATATAGTGCGCCGGAGTTAGTGTATCAACGCAAAGAATTTTAGTGCGTTACCCATGTCTACAAATTTGCGGTGGCGACCATGCGTCGCTAACCGAATGCGGCGTTCAGCGTACAGTTTCAGAAATTGGGCTCCAGAGCCTTCTCGGGCTAGTCCGTCGACCTTTCTATTGCCTGGTACTCAAGCTAAAGCACGATTTTTGGTGAGGGAATTGCTTTGAGAGTTGCTTGAGAGTAAATGGCAGTAGTTTTGCCTGATACAAGGTTATTTATTATTTCTCTTCTACAGTATATGGGTATTTGTTCGGCCTTACAACGGATACTAGGTGGCATTGCATTTGTCACCTGAAATCTTGGAAAGTAAGTACACTTTATAGATTAACTAATATTTTAAGGATCTAGTCGGTACAAAAATTTGAAAAAATGCTCATGAAATAAGGCATACATGAATCAACCCATTCATGGCATCTATCGACACTTATTTTGTAACTAGTTTTGGTTACTCACCGCAAAATTCCTACGTATTATTTTTAAAGCTTCTGTAGAATTACCACAATGTAAGTAACCTAATTTTTCTAAATGTATACTATACTTTTGTGGAATTTTCTTCTTAGCCAGAATCAAATGGAAATTAACTTTTTCTTTAATTTGTTTGTGACAGTTTCTAAGATAAAAAATATATAACAATAGCGAGTTTAAGGTTTCCTCACTATCAGCGAATGTAGCCAAGGATATAGGACCGCTCCAATGTTCGGACATCTCTATTAGAGAATACAGCCTTTCTATAGAACCTTGAGTGGCCAAACAAGTTTTGTATTGATAATTCAGTAATACATACCTGAAAAAAATTCTAATTACAGAAATGTTTGTTCATAAGAAACATTGCTCGTTATTAGCGATTCAAATTTATATACCCGCACTTTTCTAATAGCTGATAAATCTAAATATTCCATCCAGACAAAACACTTTTCAAAGTGCACGAATATTCTAATGACAGAATATGAAGTTAGCTCCGATTTTGTTTACATTCACCATTTATTGAAATCCTGGACATTAATACCTTATTTCGTATATTATTATTAGGGTAAAGTCGGATGAGATGGCCAATCGAGAGAGATAGCCAAGAACCAAAACTTTATTAATACGATGTTAGATGGCGCTGCCTGTCCGCTCAGGCAATAAACATTAACGTCTGATCACGCGTAGTGTGATTTTGTCTGTCAGGCTAAAAATACCGTATTCAGTGGATACAAAGTAAAAGTTCATGGTAAATACTAGATCCACTGAGTACGAAGCAGGCATGGATGCTTCAGGCCCACCAGCATGGTTTTTAAAGATGAAAGAGGAGAGAGTAAGGCGAGAAGAGGAAAAGGAAAGGCGTAGGAAGGAAGAAGAGGAGGAGACAGTAAGGCGAGAAGAGGAAAAGGAGAAAAGGTGTAAGAAGGAAGAAGAGGAGGAAGAGGAAAGGCGTAGGAAGGAAGAAGAGGAGGAAAAGGAAAGGCGTAGGAATAAAGAAGAGGAGAAAGAAAAAAGGCGTAGGAAGAAAGAAGAGAAGGAAAAGGAAAGGCGTAGGAAGGAAGAAGAGTAGGAGAGAGTAAGGCGAGAAGAGAAAAAGGAAAGGCGTAGGAAAAGAAAAGAAAACGAGAAGAAGGAGAGGCGTAGAAAAGAAGCCATTGAAATTATGAACGGTTTGCTACAATTCCAGGAAACCTTCAAGCAAGAGGTTAGTCAGCTTAAAATTAAAGTAGATCTGTTAGAGCAACAACAAGAGCATTTAAATACTAATTTAAAAAAGCAGCAAGAGCATTTAATAACTAATTTAGAACAACAACGAGATAATTTAAACCAACTGAAAAAGGCTAGAGTAGAGTTCGAAATACAAATTAGAACTGAACTAGTTGAGTTAGAAAGAAGAATTCGTAGCCTAGCTTCGATAAGTAACAGAGAAGCTGAAAACACTACCTCGTCCTCATCTGTAATCGAGCCAAGCCATATTCAATACCTAGTTTCACAAATCCATACTAGCAAGATCAATAAGCCACCCAAGTTTGACGGTCAGGCAATATGGGAAAAGTATCGCCTCTAATTTGAAGCTGCAGCTGGAGCCAATGGCTGGGCTGAAAAGGAGAAGGCGGCTGCATTGATAGTGTCGCTGCGAGGACAAGCAGTAACCGTTTTACAGTTACTTTCTCCAGAAAAACCCAGTAATTCATCTATTGTCCAAGCTTTGGAGATAAGATATGGCCAGCAACAATTAAAACGGGCATTTCAAAGCCAGCTAAAGATTCGTAGTCAGTCACATAATGAGAGTCTACAGAAATTCTGGGCTGATATAAGAAGATTGATTCATCTGGCCTATCCACAGGCGCCCAAAGATTTCCAAGAACAAATCGGAATAGAGGCATTCATTGATAGACTACAAGATGCGGAAATGCAGCAAGTCCGTCGTCTACAACATTACAGGACACTGAAGAAAAAACTGATTACAGCCCAGGAATATGAAGCGGTAAAACTCATATCCAAATCTTCTCGCGCAAAAATGAGAGAAATTAAATCCCAGGAAAGTAAGGACCCCAATGCTAATGCTTTTCCGAAACCTACCCTCTCGCAAATGTTAAATGTCCTGCAAAATATACAACGAAATAGCCAAAATGTCGGGATGTCGTTGTTATTAGTTCACTCCTCATATTTTTCATGTCAGTCAAGCTAATAAGTTTACTTCAAAATTTATTTTACCATATAAATTCGTATAATATATTGAAAATTTCTAAATTAAAATTGTTATAACTTAAAAAAAAACAAAAAAAAAATAATTTTTCTTAAAAGAAATTTATAGTTTTCTGAGTATATAATAAAAAGAAACTACAAAATCATTGAATTTTTAGCTCGCTATGATTTTTTCGTCATATATATCTCCTTTTAATTTCTAACCAACCTAACTCTCTCAGTTTTTAATATCAAAAAAGGTCAAATACCATTTTTATGTAAAACTTTATGCTTTACAATTTTTAATAAAAACTTTTTTTTACAGTGCCTACCGTTTTTAAATAACCTTAAAAAACACTTTATTTCCTTGTTTTTTGACATTTTCCGGTGCCTGAAAAACAAAATTTTTTTACATATCATTTTCAAATATTCTTAAGTGACTTATATCAAAAATTTCTGTTTTTCCTCCAAAATTTTGATTTAAAGGTCTATTTAATTGGACTATTAATAAAGTTGCCCTTCGGGCAACCACTATCAAGCCAGAGGGCGGCGAAGAAGAAATCACCCTTGAAAGTCTAAGACAGGAACAGAAGAAAGACAATGACTTAAAGGTTGTCCAAGAAATGCTCAAAAATAAAGTCACACCTACTTGGCAAGAGATAGCCAAATACAGTAGAACTATAAAAGGTTACTGGACCCAGTGAGATTCCCTGTATCTTTGCGATGGCCTTTTGCACCGGAAGTGGAAGAGCCCCGAAGGAGTACATGTAGTCCGCCAAGTGATACTTCCGAGATCGCAGGTGGGTAATGTATTGGAGGAGTTTCATAGCAGCCGTTCAGGAAGACAATTTGATACTAAAAGGACACTGGCTCAAGTTCGAGAAAGATTTTATTGAGTCAATTGCCGACGGGATGTAGCGGATTGGTTTAAAAGATGTGATGTATGCAATGGCAGGACAAAGGTCTATGGATTCGCTCGAGAACGATTGAAAACCCACGCCGATAAAGCAGAAGCTAGAATCGACAGGCGGGCCACAGATACACATTTTGAGAGGGGCGACAAGGTATGGCGGTGCAATCCCAAGCAGCGAGGAGGACTTTGTCAGAAATCGCAACGGAATTGGCGAGGCCCCTTCTCTGTCTTTAAGGAAAATCAACGACCTGATCTGCCGCATTTAACTGTTAGCGGGAGGTAAATCCAACGTAGTTTACAGTGGAAAGATAGCTCCATACCATTGTCCAGATCCTCCCCATTGGCTCCAGACAGGTCCCAGTAATCAAGTTATTCGGGGCGAATAACTAGAGAGGAGGGAGCAATGTTACCCAGCACCCTGTAGCGTGCTGAGGTCGTCATAAGTAGAGGTATGAGTAAATAAAGAAGATATAATAATCCAGAAATGTCTCTAAATGTCATTCCTTGTCAAAGAAAAGTCCGGATTTTTCGAGAAGGTTTTAGAAGGTCGAGGCAAGCTATATAAGTCGACGACCTGACGTCAGTTTTTAGTTTTATGATAGACGTTAAACGTTAATATTATCAGTTGGAGTTATTATATCACTTGAATTGAGTTATTGTAAAGTTGAGTTAAAATAAATTGTGATACCAAAAGCCAGTGTAACAATATTTTCAAACCTTACATTCCCAAGCCACTACGTTATAGTATTTTTACTAAAGTACATAACTTGGCACATACAGGAGGTAAAAAAAAAGTACCTTAAAGATTATTAAAAATAGATATGTTTGGCCTAGAACGTTGCGTCAGTTCATCCCTATACGCAGTGATCTAATGCACATCAGTGGATCAAAAAATAGAACCTTAAAATAAGATAATATTTTACAGAAGACATTGATATTAATAAAAATAAAACATTGTTAAATTAGATTACATTAAATGATAAAAAAGGTAGGTATGAAACATACCATACGCTTTCGACATAATTGGTTGTCTAACAGTAAAATAACTTAAATAACGTACAAAAAAAAATTATGCGAGGCCATTACAAATAGTTAATTTTCCAAAAAAGACAATATGGACGACTGTAATTTTACCTTCAAGCATATAATACTAAATTCATCGTCCAAATGGAGTTTTTTTTAGTACAGTGGGGGAAAAATAGTGTCCAGCATTCCCATTGGTCTGTTTTGTTTTGCTTGGCATGTCAAATCGTTTGAAATTGTCAAAACTGTCATTTGATTTTTGATTTTCATTAATTTCTAGCTTCTTTTTGTACTTTATAAGTGATTTTTTTGTACTTTATTTACTGATACAAATTTTAACAATGGTGAGAGTTTGTGAAAGTTGTAAATAGAAATAAGAAAAGACATCGTCAAGGGCGTTTCAGAAGTAAGTAACCATTAGCGTTTCTACCATTTTTTTAAAGAAACGTAAGTACCTACGTTTTATGCAAAAGGCCGTTAAACTTGTTTTAGATTTTGGAATCTACTAAAAAGTTAAAAAAAAAATTAATCAAAATTTTTCAATATAAACAAGCTTTTCGTTTTTTAGTAATCTTATCATGATAATGTTAAAGATGTTAAATCAATAATTTTTGTTTTTTTGGGATTTCCAACTAATCCTGCCGAAAAACGCATTTAGTAAAACATATTGAAACTGACTTCAGAAAACATTTTAAATAGTGATGTTTCATGTTTCAATCATTTTTCTGGACATATGTTTATAAACGAAAATAAACCAAAACTCAAATGTGATAGATGTAAAATGAAGTAAAATGAATTTAGCTCAAAGCCAGAATATCACATAAAATACAACGACCGTTTCCCCTTCAAAAAAACAACTACTTCTTTGGCTAATACCACAATAGGCATTAAATTACATCCGAGGGAAAAACAGCAGAGATAGAAATTAATTTTCAATACTCTCTACTTTGATTTTGCTCACCAAGGAGAACAACATTCTTGGACCGGTTTCGTCCTTATTAGGACTCCTCAGCAAGAAATAGATAGGTTCTCAATTCCAGTCTCTAATGGAATTAACAAATGCTACACATTGAGTCCTACTGAGGAGTCCTAATAAGGACGAAACCGGTCCAAGAATGATGTTCTCCTTGGTGAGCAAAATCAAAGTAGAGAGTGTTGAAAATTAATTTCTATCTCTGCTGTTTTTCCTTAGGATGCAATTCAATGCCTGTTGTGGTATTAGCCAAAGGAGTAGTTGTTTTTTTTTGAAGGGCAAACGGTCGTTGTATTTTATGTGATATTCTGGCTTTGAGCTAAATTCATTTTATTTCACATATGTTTATGTCAAATACTGGATGCAGAGGAAAAACTAGATTAATTCCAGGTGCATTGCCATTGGAATTTACTGAGGCCCCAGAAGAAGATGACTCTAAAAGATAAAGAACCCTCTACTTTTCTTATGGGTTAATCGTTAAAAATTTTTAATTTTTCAGTGATGATCTGAACCATGAAGTATCTGTTGCAGAAAAAGAAAATGCAGAATTAGAAAACATGTAAGTAACTAAGTACTTTTTAATAAAACATAAATTTTATTTTTAAATACTTATCTAGGTATAACTACCTATATTTTTTATAAACCAAAAAAATTGATAATAATTATTTTTTATTAAATATATGTCCTTTAATTAAGTAGACTGCTAGTCGTTAAAAAATAAGCAAAGCCTAATGTGAGTTTTTCAATAAAACAATAATTTTAAGCTTCTTTTATTTGTACTCCTAGTCATTAAGAAATAATCGAAGCATAAGACAGTTTTCCAATAAAAATTAAGCTTCACTTATTTGTTAACGACTAGCAGTGTAAATGTACCTAAGTACCTAAGTATTAGCTGGATTTCTATTTGTAGTATATCGTTTAGTAATCTATTGAACATTGGTTACGAACAATATTTTTATATTTAATAAATTATTGGAAAAATTTCTTGTATTGTAATTCTCGTACACGTGTGTTAAGATATATCATAAATATTTGTCTAATATACCTACTATTTATTTATTTTTGATTTTTAAATACAAGCTTTTTATCTTTTTTATTGCCAATTATTTCAACCTTCATTTTTCCGTTATACACTTTCTAATGTTTGAATTAAAAAAATCTGATATGTCCAACACAAATAATAATAATAAATAATAATAATTTACTATTACTAGATACCTACCTAAATATTGCAAGTTTGTAAAATATGTGCATAATTTAAAGAATTTTAAAGGTATGTATCAAATTTATTATTTATATTATTTGCAAACCCCCTAAAAATGATGCGACACTGAAAATAGTGTCTACCTATTTCCCCTCTTAACCCTAACAAACGCTGTTGAATACGGACTCTATGAAATATATATGCTCAAAGAATTTTACCTGCATTTCGTAGTCTTGTTTACATATGAATAAGCAATCTATATAAACTATATACGTCATTGGATACGACTAGTAGACACAGGTAAACTGCTTTAATCTCCATATACTCCCTTTTAATAAATTGTTGGTTAGGCAACTCTGGCACTAAACCACTCAAATGTCTTACTTTGTAGATTGTAATGAAAAAAAAAAAAAAAAATCTCTAAACACTTTTTATAAATAAATAATGAAAATCTACTTACTTATCACCTATTAAAATATTGTCAAACAATTTATATTTGTGTTGTACGTCCCAACGGCCCAATTGTAAATTCAAATTTAAATTTGTTCTTGTTCTGCAATTCCTGTATACTATGGCATTGTAAAGAAGAAACAGGATTAGCACTGCTAAACTTTTATTTGTAAGATGTAACCTCTAAAACCACGAAAATTATTATTAATATACATACACTCAGGGCCGGATCTAGAGAGGAGCAAAGGGGGCAGTTGCTCTGGGCGCCAAGTAAAGAAGGGATTAAAAATTATACCTTATATTTTTTGGGAATTAAGTACAATTAAGTACAGCTTTTTCTATTTTTAATACATTCATAAATATCAACACTGTTTAGAACACCAGGCCGCCTGGCCTTCTTAAAATACTAGATTAAAACAGTGGATCAATAACTATTTATTGGAGAAAAAAATAAAATATGCTAAAATAATTTAATTGATATGAGCTTGGTAGAAGAAGAAACAATCATGTCAGTACCAGGTGAAGCCTGAGTTGGAACTTACCAAAGGTATTAGGTACATAAAATAATTTATTTCCGTTTTTTGTGTGGATATCAAATTAAAGAACTTAATGTCAGTATTTCAAAGACAAAGCCGGATAATTAGCTAACTCTTATCGGGTGATTTGAACGACGAGAAACTTGTAAATGAAATAGAAAGTTTTAAATGTCGTGCTATGAAATGCAGAAGAAGGATTAAAAGACGCATCAGCAGCATATATGTTAAATATACTGCATTAAAACAAACTCTAAGGTTATTCAAATATTTTTGTTGCCCTGAATATGTTTTTAACTCTTCTCGAATCGGTTGCATCTGGTGAAAGAAATTTCAGTAAATTGAAGGTTAGTATGTAAGGCGTTTTCTCACGACAGAGAAAACGTTTCCTTACGAATTACGCTGGTTACGGGCGGCTCTCGAGCGCCAAATTTTTGGTTATGATTTACTCCATAAAGTCTCGAAGCGGTGTCGAAAATACTCCGCTAGCTACAGATGGAGATGAAAATCATCGCTTGCGCTTATAAAGAATATTTCACTAGCTGAAAGTTAAGGGGGAAGCAAAGCAAGGTATTAGAACTTCTTAAGTAATACGGCCAGATAACAATGACTCATATGTTGTGAATAACTATTTACAGATTAAAAATAAAAAATATATATTTTAACGCCCACCCTCGTTGCGATGATAGTCAACATAACCCTGAACGAAAAAAAAAAAAAGAAGCAGACGGTATTGAATCCCGACTATTCTCAATCAGACGTCAACATTGAATTAAAATAAAATGAGTGTTTCGGTCGCAGGAAAAATAAACTTGACTACTTTGTCGGTAATTAAACTAAAACATAATTTCTCATTTCGGTAAGGGAAATTTCTAAGAGCGGTCGTAGCAAATATTAACTATTTAACTGTCGCAGCTGGAATTAAATTAAAGTGTACTTTACTATTTCGGCAAGAAAAAATTATCTATACGGTGGCAGAGAGTGCGAGGAGACAGGATCGTGAAAGAATTACTTGTAGTAAATATTTGGAAAGGAAAAAAAAATTATATTTGGGGTAGCCTATTATCCTAGAATGAGCTGATCATCGTCACGAGCTCGCTCAAACAGGGTAATGAAGCTATTTAAGATTTCTTAAATTTACGATTCGCACGTAAAAAATAAAGAATACAAAGGGAAAAAGAAAAACTAACGCGGATAGTACCTAATCCAAGAATGAACTGATCGTCATCACGAGCCCGCTCAGACAGGGACAGGATACTATTTAAGATTATTTAAATTTGCGGTTTGCATAACTTAGATAGCACTTAATCCAAGAATCAGCTGATCGTCATCACGAGCCCGCTTAGACAGGGGCAGGATACTATTTAACACGTTGAGCGCCACACTGAAAACGGTATATGCATCCTGTGGACCTATAATTTTGTAGTTTTTAATTTGTTTTTGGTTTTAGGTATTTCAATGATTATATTTTGTGGTATTTTAGTAGTTTTTGGATGTTTTTCTTTTTTTTTTTCTAGTAACCGCTGACGGCACGTGGTCCCAGGAAGTAAATTTACATCGTGGGACCAAATGACCGCTGGGGGCCACGCCGTATTTTTTGATTCGTTACGCGTTTTTCTCTTTGTTTCAGACTTAAACATATAAATAGAAGTACCGAGCAATAAAATGGCAAGAAAACATCTAACTGATGACGATATGGCACGTAAATTAGAGGATATTTCAGATCTTGATGGTTCCGTCACAGGTTTTTCGGATGATTCAATACAGGATGAAGACTATGTTCAGGAAACTTCATCTTCAGATTCTGATGATAGGAATAGTAACACTGCATCTCCTGAAGTTGAAAACAGGTCCTATTCTGATGATGATGCTGGTAATGTTAGTCTTGCTACAAACACTAATATCCGGAAGATAAAATGGAATGCCGTTTCGGTCCCAGACGATCTTTTACTGCAACTCCTCAAAAAAGTGGAATTGATCTCAACGTCGCTGCCTTGTTGAGAGATAAAAGTTCAGTAGAGTTTTATAACTATTTTATAAGTGATGAAGTTTTACAACTAATTGTCATCGAGATAAACCGATTTGCAGCACAAAAACTAGCTGCCGCAGCACCTGTCGCCAGACTTCCAGCTGTACCTGCCGTAGGACTCGGAGCTGTTGATAGAACCGCTAGACGGCGTGCCGCTATCACTCCCAAGTCACATATGATGGGTTGATACAAATATCGCAGAAATAAGGAATTTTTTTGGAATGCTGCTATGGATGGGTTTGGTAGGGTATCCTAAACTTAGAGACTATTGGTCGAAGAGCCGTTTATACGAGAACAGAATGTCTAGGAAGATGAGCCGTAACAGGTTTGAGCTGTTGATGACAATGTTTCACCTCCAAGATGATACAGAGCTACGAGCACCGGAAAACCGTTTCTTCAAAATTACTACAGCTTTAGATTTATTTCAAGTGAAGTATAAAAAGCATTTACTCCAGAAAATGATATCTGCATAGACAAAACTAACGTTCCCTTCCGAGGCCGTATATTTTTTCGGTTATATAACCCTATTAAGCGGCACTAGTATGGGATCAAGCTTTTTAAGCTATGTGGACCTGGGGATATACCTACTCATTTAAAGTTTACACAGGCAGTGAAAAAGTCGACAATGTTTCTGTGGCCGAGACAGTCATTATGCAGCTCTTGGATAGTCTACTGGATCAAAGGAGAACATTATATACCGATAATTGGTATACTAGCGTTTCCTTAGCCGAAACATTGATCAGCAGATCAACCCATCTCGTCGGCACACTCAGGTCAAACTGGAAGAAAAATACACCAGAAGTATCAAAGCGAAGTTGAAAAAAGGTGAGAGAGTTGCACAAGAAAACGAAGAAAAGGTAATGGTGTTGAAGTGGAAAGACAAAAGGGACGTGCTAATGTTATCCACCAAGCACGACAACTCTAAAGTGTCCTTTACCCAAAAAGGAAAAGCAGTTACGAAACCACCTGTCATAGTTGATTACAATAAAGGCAAGTCATTTATTGATTTGTCTGAGCAGATGCCCCCTTCTTCAGAAGAACCGTCAAATGGTACAAAAGACTATTTTTTTAATATGCTACATCCACAAAAGTTGTTAATGCCCACTACCTGTTCACGAAAATAAACAGAAGGATCAGCATAGTTCAATTCAGAGAAAAAATTGTTTTAGGTCTAACTGAGAATAAAGCGGATCCAGGATCACTCAGCTTGCCTTCAACATCTAGGTGCAGACATACGTTAGTGCAAGCTGATGGACCAAGAAAGTTGTCACGTAAAAGATGTGACATTTTTTATAAAACTATGAGCAGGGAACATGGGGTACCATATGCCAGAAAAAAATGCAAAGAAAATGAACACAATCTGCGATGTATGCCAACGTCCAATGTGTTTGGAGTGTTTCCAAAAAGAACACCGCTAAATTTTTTGACTCATGAATTTTTCAGCTTAGAATTTTTAAATATTCTTTTTTATAATGATTTTTTAGTTTATCTAATAATGTCCTTTTAGTTTATCTAATATTGTCATTTTAGTTTGCAAATAAATGCGTTATTTTCTAATATATCATGTATTTATTTTATTGGACACAATTTTCTCGACCCAAGTATAGCACCATGTTCCCTGTGGCCCACAGATTACGAGCATCCATATACAACTCATAGTACGAGTGCTCCCAGGCGGGCATGCGGCGCTCAATAAGAAAACACATAATGTCCGCCGGCGGGCACTTGGTCCCAGGAGTGTATTACAAATTGTGCGCCGATGGGCACTCGGCGTTCAACGTGTTAAAGAGGGAAAACGTCTCTTCGAAAACTCCGTTTCTTAATATTTCCAACTTAATTATAACGCGGCACCTACTAAACAAAAGTATTTATTAATGAAATCAAGTTTAATTCCCGATTACCAAAAAGAAAAGTTTAATTTCTTAGGTCAGACTAACTATCAAATGTCTAAATCAACGGTATTACAATTTTAAAGAACTAAATCCTATCATTTATTATTTAAATAAAATTTAATTCTCTTTAAAGAAACGATATTCTATTTTTAAAGAACTAACTTTTATTATTTATTAACTAATTCAAATTAAATTACCGGTCTGAGACTAGAATAGAACCTGATGTAGGATCTGGTGAACATGGACTCCATCTCACCGAGATATATCTTCCATAAGCCATATAAATTTATAATAGAACAAATAGAAGAGCCAGAAGTTGCAGGTACGATTCATATCTACACCGACGATTCTAAAAGAAAACAAGGCTCAGGATGCGGAATATACTCCAGATTCTTAAACCTAAACCTAAAATTGGCTGTGAGCAATAGTGCCAGTGTAGTTCAAATAGAGCTAACGGGGATTCTTATAGCAGCAAAAGAAATAACCAGAAATAATATCAATGGAAGGAACATGCTTATCTATACAGTTAGCAGACAAGCACTTCTCACCCTGAACAGACCATGAATTTATTTAGGGTTAATACTAGAATGTCATAAAGCTTTGGCCGAAGTATCCATCAATAATGTGGTCACCTTAACCCTTAAATGCATCTAGTTGCCATATGGCAACATACCGATATTTTACTAGCCTAAACACACTGGAACGCAAATTTACGCTCGATACATGCTGTAGCCAATTGAATACATACCGTTTAATGATATAATTTTGAAAGTTACTATGTGATGGCGCTACAAAGCGTGAGTGCATCGGTTTTGTCAGTTGATGCATGGCGCGCAGACGTAACTGCTGTTTATAAATTTGTGAATTCTGTAGTGTTTCTCCAGTGACGATTTGAATATTATAAAATTGTGTTTCCTAGTCCAATAAGGTTTGTATTTTACTATATTTTATATTGCGGTTTATATTATTGTTTTTTCTGTAAACTGCAGCTTTGTTTTGTTGCCAATCGGCAACATTATGCGTTTAGGATATAAAATGTTATATATATAATTTTTTCGTATTTCAGAATGAGCAATAGAGATAGACGGCTCTTATCAGAAAAAAGGTTGACAGAGTACTGGGAAAATTTCACGGGCCTAGATAGCGATGATGGTGTAGTTAGTGATGCGGACAGTTGGGACGAGCCTGTCGAGGAATCTGTACTTATTCTCGAAGATGATGTTGAAGATAATGTCAGCGAGGCCGATCACTCTGAAAAAGAAGATATACCTACACCTAGACCTACATTTAGCGACGATAAAGACAATTTACCTCTATCTGTGCTAAGAGGTTAGGCAAAAAAAGAAAAAACGACTACAAACAAGAATATTTTGTGGAAAAAAAGTCCCTGCAGCTAAATGAGGACCAATTACGCTTCACAGGGGATACAAAACTTGATGCCAATATTTGTAAGTTGGAAACCCCTTACGAGTTCTTCAGTTACTTTTTTTCAAGTGACCTAATACAACAAATAGTTCATAAAACTAACTTATATGCTGTACAGAAAAAACCTGAAAGGCCTCCCGTTTTTACAGAAATCGACATTAAACAATGTGGGCATAATAATATACATATCGATGGTCCATATGCCAAATACTAGGTCATTCTGGAGTGAAGAACTTCGGTTTTCGCCAATTGCTGATACCATGCCTGTAAATAATTTTGAAAAAATTAGGCAATATATCCATTTTAATAATAATCAAACTTTTATACCTCGCGATCAACCTGGACACGATAGACTACATAAAATAAGACCTCTTGTTACACATTTAAACGAAAAATTTCAATCAATTGCCTTGGAACAGCACCTAAGTATAGACGAGCAAATGTGTTCTACCAAGGTAAGGCATTACATGAAACAATACATGCCAATAAAACCCCATAAGTGGGGTTTCAAGTTTTTCGTTTTGGCGGCAGTTTCCGGATTTGCTTACAAGTTTGAGATTTATACGGGTCAAGAGAAATTTGAGCAGTTAGTGGATGGTGAACCAGAACTAGGAGTAACTTCAGGAGTAGTTTTACGATAAGCAAGAGTTATACCACGTCATAAGAATTATAGATTATACCACGATAACTACTACACAGCTTTGAAACTCATGGTGCACCTCGCTAAAGAAGGTATTTACTCCTTAGGTACAATACGAAGAAATAGACTTCCTAACTGCAAATTGCCCACAGAAGCTTCACTAAAGAAAGCTACTCGGGGCACCAGCCATGAATGTGTTGCAATTGTTAATGGGGTAGATATATCATCAATCATTTGGAAAGACAATAAATATGTCACCCTTATTTCATCATTTGTTGGCAAAAATCCGGTAACAAAGGTCAAGAGATTTGATCGCAAAGAGAAGAAGAACAGTGAAGTTGACTGCCCTAACATAATTAGTGAATACAACAGACATATGGGGGGAGTGGATTTGTTAGATAGTTTGATGGGTAGATACAAAATTCATTTGAAAAGCAGAAAATGGTACATAAGGCTTTTCTACCATCTTATTGATATGTCCCTAGTAAACAGTTGGCTCCTTTACAAACGAGTATAAAATGAAAATGGAGAAGCTGGTAAAGTCCTGAATCAAGCTGAGTTCCGTACTCAAGTGGCTTACAATTTATGCAATCTAAGGTCGACTCAATTTAGGCGTGGCAGACCAAGCAATAGCTTGGAAACTGATATTGCGGCAAAAAAGAAGAAAGGTCCAACCAAACACGTTCCACCGAAAGAAGTGCGCACGGATCAAACTAGTCATTGGCCTGTTCCCCAAGATGCTAAAATGAGGTGCAAATACCCCAACTGCAAAGGTTTCACTCGCATCAAGTGTGAAAAGTATGGGCTTGAATTATGTCTCAACAAAAACAATAACTGTTTTAAAAAATTTCATAACTAATTTTTTGTCGTTAATGCATACTGTATCCCTTTGGTAACAATCCCTTTTTTGAAAATAAAAATTTGAAAAATTAGGTTGGGATTTTTTTACTATTTTTTTGGTGTTGGTTTGTACTTTTTCTAATGTATTTTTATTATTTTACAAAAAAATAAAAAATCATGCTTTTAAGGGTCAAGATGAATCAATGGTCACGCCAGATCGAAAGGTAACCGTCTTGCCGATTCATTAGCCAAGAAAGCAGTCAACCAAATACTTTTTGGACCTGGCCCTTCTATTGGCCTGACAAAATCGGTAGTGACAGACCTAATTAAAGAACATTCCCTTGTAAAATTCAAGAAAAGATGGGATAAAACAAGAAACTGCAGAGTTGCCAGGGAGCTCTTAAGTTATCCTAACAAATACTTGACTATGACTAGACAGAATCTGCGTCTGGTCACAGGCATTCTGACTGGTCATTGCCAAGTACGGAAGCATCTCCATATCATGGGGCTGTCAGAATCCGCACTCTGTAGAGAGTGTGAACAAGAAATGAGACCATCGAGCATATCCTTTACGATTACCCGACGCTCTCATTTATTAGAAGATTTGTGTTCGGCAAGTATCGGCTAACACCGGCCGATATAAGAGAAGCACCTCTTGGCGACGTTGTCAACTACATTAAATCTGTAGGCTGGCTCATGAGCTAGGAGGTGCCTATCATCTTAGGAGGATGCACAATGGGCCTAAAGAGGCCTAATTGCCGTGGGGGGTAACCCACCCTCCACATGTTATAGATACAGATATTGAGCATCAAAAAATATCTCAGATAAGTTTCGATAAAATAACAAACATATTTACAGCAAAAAAGCTCAAAAGATAAGAGTTCATTGTTTATTTACTCTAGTTTTAATTTTTAATTAAGTAAAAGAATCATAAGTTGTTTTAGTTAGGCTATGTACTTTTATAATAAATTAATTATTTGATCTAATGGTTAGTTTTTTATAACCTTCTTTTAAGTGTTACTATTGTATAATCAATTTTATGTCTAACAAGGAAATGAGGCGCCAAAGACAAAGCTTCCCTCTCCCACGAAAATAAGTATAGCTCCGGCCCTGCATATACTAGATTGTAGTTTCCCATTTATTTTATTTTTTTTTACAAATCTTATTTTTGTAAACCTGGAATTACTAAAAATTAAAATATTTAGATTTGGCCAAGAACATAACTACTTGGCAACGTTACATGGGCGCTACGTTGGCAATTCAAGCTAAAACGTATTATCCGACATCCATGATACAAAAAATTACAGTATCATATACGACATCATTGGGGAAATTTAAAATCTAAGTGGGAAAGTACCAAATAATGCCCCTAACTAAAATATTTTAAGGAAAATTACAATAAGAAAGCTTCTTCTTTTAAATGTCTTAAAAACATACTTGCTACACACACTGTCTACATTAATAATTACATGGAAAAAATCTTGGTTCTATTTTAAAGTAAATAGGAAATGAATTAGCTAGTAGAGGTAATCTATTAATACTTACAGTATACATTTTACGATGAATTAACCAGATAAAACAATAACTCTAATATGACTTAACTACAATACCTTTTATTGTAGGTATCAATTATTACTGATAACCTTAATGACAGGTATTTTGACAGTAATGAAAGATACTTTTTCATAATATTTAACAAAGATCTTAGAGTAGTATAGAGAGGACAGTAAACAATGTTTGTGCGGCTTGATAATATGGTCGAAAATCGCATCAAAGATTCTAATTAGAGAGAAATAAATTAATAGTATGAGAGCCCCACATACTTTGATTTTTTTTTACTATACGGAGAACGGTCGCACTGCGCAGCTTTCTGAGTGCCTTCTAAAAGGAGATAGAAAACTCTGCTATTTTGAACCCTTATTACGTGTTGCCTACATCTTGGCGCAATATTTTTAATAGGTGCGTTTTAATCATCCGCTTCTGCTTCGAAATTGCCAATTTTCTTGTTTTAATCTGACAGGTTAAAACGACTAAACCGACAATTCTGGAAGCAGAAGCGGATGATTAAAACTCACCTGATATTTTGCTTGCTGCTGTCAGTGTCAGTCACATACTTTGATTACTATACGAGGCAAGAGAGAGGTCCGACACGCCCAACGTAGGACGCGTCCATTTTGAACCCTGTGACACAGTTTACAGCTAAAGAATCAGATCGCTCACTCTGCGTCAGCACTTTTGATCTCAATGTTTCAGTTTATATACTGTGCAACTCGGATAATACAATATATGGATAATACAATATATGACAACCGCCTATAATAAAACAGCAGTCTTCTGCGTATCCTGGATTTGTATCCCTGGAGTGTTATTTTGTGTTATTTTGGAACTTTCAACTGGTCCGAGTGAGCTAACTGATTCTTTAGCAATAAACTGTGACTTCAAAAATAACATTCACTGACACTGACAGCAGCAAGCAAAATATCAGGTGCGTTTTAATCATCCGCTGCTGCTTCCAGAATTGTCGGTTTAGTCGTTTTAACCTGTCAGATTAAAACAAGAAAACCAACAATTCCGAAGCAGAAGCGGATGAATAAAACGCACCTATTAAAAATATTGCGCCAAGATGTAGGCAACACGTAATAAGGGTTCAAAATGGCGGAGTTTTTTTATCTCCTTTTAAAAGGCACTCAGAAAGCTGCGCAGTACGACCATTCTCCGTATAGTAAAAGAAAATCAAAGTGATTAAAGTATGTGGTGTCAGTGAATATTATTTTTAAAGTCAATTTATTGCTAAAGAATCAGTTAGCTCACTCGGACAGTTGAAAGTTCCAAAATAACATCCACTCCAGGAATACAAATTCAGGATACGCAGAAGACTGCTGTTTTATTATAGGCGGTCATATATTGTATTATCCGAGTTGCACAGTGTATAAACTAAAACATTGAGATCCAAAGTGCCGACGCAGAGTGAGCGATCTGATTCTTTAGCTGTAAACTGTGTCACAGGGTTCAAAATGGCCGCGCCCTATGTTAGGCGTGTCGGACCTCTCTCTTGCCTCGTATAGTAATCAAGTATGTGGAGAGCCCACTGCAAATTTCGACCGTCTTCATCTTAATGAAGACTTGAATTCATTATTTATTATATCTACTGCTCAAAATTTAAAAATAAATCCGTTCAAATCTACATTAACGTTATTTGGTGCAAAAATATATAAAATCAATTGCAGATCAATTACAGATTACAATTGATGGCAATGTTCTTCAGTTTGCAAATGAAGCCAAAAATTTAGGTCTATGGATTGATTCCGATTTTCAATTTACAAAGTACGTAAATTCATTGTTGCAAAGTTGTTTTACTGTTTTGAGACAACTATTTCCTAGCTGAGACTTACTTTCCATACCCACTAAGCTAAAACTTTGTGTATCTCTTATTTTTTCAAAGATATTTTATTGTGACTCTATTTACGGACCTGCGCTACTTCGATATGACTCTTTAGTTTACAAAAAATTTAGAACTGCTGCTTGCGTTTTGCATATGGCATGAGAAAATTTAATCATATTTCACACAAAATGATCGAATCAGGGTGGTTATCTTTAAATAACTACGAGACATTCCCCTAAATAACATTAGTTCATAAGACATTAAAGCTTCAAAAACCCGATTACTTATTCAAAAAGGTAATGTTTTCAAACAGAAACACCTGTTCTATCCTAGCTTTATTGGGCTGGACATATACTGCCTTCGATCATGGTGGACTGTATCATAGTATATTACCTGGGGTGGAGGCCTTATGCTCCACCCTGTAGCTTCTGGGAGATATTCTTGAAGTTCTCGTTGAAGCACTGGGTTTATTCAAATAAAACTATCACCCTATATTTGAATTTGATATATTCACGGCTTGATGATTTCACATTTACTACTTTGTTACATAAATTTATTGATCGGTTACATATTAACTTTTGTAAATTAACTCGCACAATGCTTGAAATGTTTGAGTGTTTTGTTTTGTTCTGCGATGCTTGTTAGCTCGCATCGGTTACCGGCTTTCTTCTAATTGGTTCTCTTGAATCGTATGTTTGCACACGAGACCATTGCTTTTAGGAACTGTCGTATGATTGGGTGAAAAAATCTCGCGTGACTCGTTTTAATTGTTCGCGAAGTAGCAGGTGTCTTTGAAGGTTAACCGAGTTGTTATTTCACAACTTTGGATAATTGGTTTATACAGGTAGTGTCTATTTAGTATTTCATTCTTTTTGTTTGTTAAGTGCGGAGGTTTATACAGGGAGTGTCTATTTAGTATTTTATTCTTTTTGTTTGCTAAATGCTGATTTAAATTAGCAGATAGGACATGTTGAATGTAATTTCAACATACTCCCCCGACCGCAAGAGTTGATTGACAATCGACATTATTTTAGTTAAAAAAATTGTTTGTATTAAATCACCCTGTATAAACAGTAATTAAAATGTTGTTTGGGTATTTGTTTCACCCTGTATGAATAAAAATTAAATGGTAAAATAAGTCACTGCTTGTCGCATATGCTCTGTGTGAGAAACGAAAGGTATATACAAACAAATATTTACATTAAAGATTTATCCTTGGCCTCAGTCTAGACCTGCTGGCGAAAACGTCGCAGATCGGTTTTCTAGCCCTGTCTCTGTGACCTGATACCCTTTGCTTTATTTCGAAAAGTACGAAGTGTGAGAAAAAAAAACTATTACCTTATTTGAAGGTATAAAACATGAAGTAAATTAAGGTAAAATGGGCGTAATGGTTTTCGACGATGTGTTTACAAATTACTTTAATAAGTGATCACCCTGTAGGTAAAAATTAGTAATATGGGTATAGCGACCCTAGAGTGTCTTATAGGAAGAACACCTTATAGATATGTGACTATGGCAGCCCGAGGGTGTCTTATTGGAAGAGCACCTTGTATATATGTGGCTATGGCAGCCCGGGTCTTATTGGAAGAGCACTTTGTATATATGTGGCTATGGCAGCCCGAGAATGTCTTATTGGAAGAGCACTTTGTATATATGTGGCTATGGCAGCCCGAGAAGTGTCTTATTGGAAGAGCACCTTGTATATATGTGGCTATGGCAGCCCGAGAAGTGTCTTTTTGGAAGAACATGTTGTAGATGTGTGGCTATGACAGCCCGAGAAGTGTCTTATTGGAAGAGCACCTTGTATACATATGTGGCTATGGCAGCCCGAGAAGTGTCTTATTGGAAGAGCACCTTGTAGATATGTGGCTGTGGCAGCCCGAGAAGTGTTTTATAGGAAGAGCACCTTGTATATATGTGTCTATGGCAGCCCGAGGGTGTCTTATTGGAAGAGCACCTTGTATATATGTGGCTATGGCAGACCGAGAAGTGTCTTATTGGAAGAGAACCTTTTATATATGTGGCTATGGCAGCCCGAGAAGTGTCTTATAGAATGACGAAAATATAAAAGTATGAAAGAATAATACGTGGGTATGGTGGCCCGGAAGTGTCTTATAGGAAGACGAAAATATAAAAGTATGAAAGAATATTAGGTGCGTATTTTTATGACAGTTGGTTGGCCGACCTCGTGCCACAAATATATTCCCTGTATATCACATGTATGATTCAGATAATCGGCCAATTATCAGATCACACATGCGACATTAATATGATAATGTTGAATGAAATTAATTGAAGTACCTAGATAGGTATAAAAATAAACAGTGAGTACCTATAAAATATTTATGAATAAGTATAGCATATGTACCTAGTAAGAGGATATTAAAATGAATTTGAATTTTAAGTTCCTAAGAATGTGTGAAAGTATAGCATATACCTATTTATAAGGGTTTTAAAAATAAGTTTAGTGTAAGATACCTAAATAGATATAGGTTTAAAGTAACTTAGCTAAGTATAGCAAATATAGAGCATGTTTGTACCTTATACAAAGGGTTTTAAATACATTTAAAGTGAATTAGAGTATGAGAGTACCTATCGAGAGGTTGAAATAAGTTTAGAGTGAAGTATCTAAGTAAGTATAAGTTTAAGGTAAAGTAGCTATGTAAAGTATGTGTATAGTATAAGTGTGCACCTATAGAAAGATTGTAAATAAATTTAAAGTAGTGTACCTAAGTAGGTATAAGTATAAAGTGAATTAAATACAAATGTAGAGTGTGCATACCTTATAGAAAGGTTTTAAATACGTTTAAAATAATGTACCTAAATAGGTACGAGATAATACGATGTAGTTTAATGAAGTTTGAGAATTTCATAAAAATATTGTACCAACATTCTGTAGGTTTTTTAATGTTATTAGCTGAAATGGTAAATACTAAAATACTAGAATGAATTTAAACTAAGACATGGATTTTTGATTTTCAAAGATAGTTAAAAGTTTGGTAGGTAAATTTGCTAGTAAGAGCATTGTAAAGAGTTCTAGTTTGGGAATTATAACAACAGATTTAATAGGAGCTATACGTGACATAGCTGTGATTAGATTATATGAAATGTGATTTGAATAAAAGGAAGAATTTGAATTTGTATGTAGTTATTCTTAGAGGTGAATTTTTATAGTTTTAATGAAATTTGTTTGGCTTATAAAATGTTGCCATTTGACTAAAAATGTAGAATAGACGATAGTTAGGTCCCAAGAATATTGGGATGGCCATATATTGAATCAGT